GATCGAAGCTGCCTTTATTGCAAAGTAAGCCACCAAAAGATGTGACATTCTGCCTTCCAAAAACATTGCCATGCCATCTTCTTCATTAGCTAATATGGACAACTTTCTATGACCGTACAAGAAGAGGAACTCATTAATATGAATTTCAACTCTACTATAATATTATATCCAGATCATCTCTTGGCAAAAGTATGCTTACAAGATATGAGTTTTAGGTTTTAAGAGGAAAACTGAAAGGATGGACCATTATTGGACAGCAAAGCACTCACTATGCCGAAAAGGGAGGGGAAAGGGTTGACTTTGTCAGTCACATTGCAGGGTGATGCCTCTCTGATGAAAATGCGACATAAGTTATCCGGCAAAAGGGAAAAACCTGCTGGAAGAAGGAATCTGCTAACCCAACTTGCTCTTTACTCTGGTAGTTTCAAACGATTGAAGAGTACAAGAAAGCTGTGCTCTGGAATGACATAAAGAAAGCCAAGGTCTGCACCTTTCATGTGCGGCCCCATTCCCTAAGGAAAATTAACAAACACATGAATAGAAAGAAACAAGGACCTCTCCCCTACATCTTTTTTTATTATCAGTGAGATAGAAAATTTAAGGGAAGATGGACAGCAATTTTAGTACCTTTCCATTGAGTTGCAGAAGTTCCCCCTCAACCCACCTTGGGTTTTTGAAACCAAATTCAGCTATTCTTCCTTGACCTTTATAATTTGCAACCTGGAAGAACCAAACACGATGAGTCATACTTGTAATTCTGATGCAATCTAAACTGGAGGATTTAAATCTTATAATGTTTCAACCCCGATAGTTTCTTCCACTTTAGCCAAATTATTGATGCTGAGTCACGCTAAAACTAGGGCTCACCATGAAAGTTGCATTGGTCAGTGCAATATGATATCACGGTTAACAACTAATGGTTTATGTGCACAAAATAAACAAACCATGTGTGTGATATGCCGATTGTTTTAGCCTTTTCCAGCTAGTAGTAGTACTGTAGTAGTAGTCTATAATCTCCAGGCTACTTGCACACAGTCAAGAGTGTGTGCGCCATCCTACTAGTAGAGCTATTGGGTAACCAACTGATGGGAAGAATTCACCTACTATCATCTTTGCTAAGATTTGAAGCTTGGTTACTAAGGTTGTTACTCTTGCTACAGCTTTTTGACCGCTAGACCACCACTTTCAGGACACCTGTACTCAGTAGTATATTTCGTCATATATAGATTTCGTACAGAAATGATATTCAATTATTGACCAATTTGATTTTAATCACTTTGACCTCAATAAATAAGAGACCTGTGCAATGTTGCATGGAGATTAGAAGCATAACACTTGGGCTCACTCACCATCTGGGAATCCTCACCCAAGTAGCATGTTGGATGGTTAGCGTTTTACATGGTAAAAGAAATTTCTCAAACCAATGCTGAAGTCCATTTGGCAGTCATCTTTTTTTTTTTTTTTTTTTTTGGGGGGGGGGGGGGTAAGGGAAGGAGGTGTTCCAATTAGAGATATCCATCTGGCATCTTTAGAACTATGATCACAGAACTTCAATGTTTTCTGTTAATAGCAGTTATAATTTCAGGAAATATCTCTTAACGGTTTAGTTGACCAGAGCATAGAATAAATAGTACGAAAAGGACAGTTAAAGATACTTCTGATAACTAATAGCCTATTCAGCCAAGCTTCTGGGAAGCCAAAAGCTCTTTGTTCGTTTATTCTGAAAAACTGCTTACTTTAGAGAGTTGAGGTGTTTGACCAAGCTTATAGGAAAAAAATAATTGCTTCTGAGTAATTGCAGAAGCTGTTTTCAGAAGCTAGAAAAATTGGCTTCTCCCCAGAAGCATTTTGGAATCTTAGCCAAGCACAAATTGCTGCTCTAATATTGGCAAAAGTGCTTATCAATTTGATTAACCAAACAAAAACTGCTACTCTCAAAAAGTAATTTTCCACAAGCACTTCGGACAAAAAGCGCTTCTCAAAATAAGCCGATTTTGGAAGCTCAAAATAAGCCGATTTTGGAAGCTTGGCCAAACAGGCAATAAGACATGGTTCAACCTGGGAAAGCCAACACAACGCTAACGACAAGCACAAAAAAGCAGACTCAAAGGGGCAATTATCCACGAACTTTACTTACCACACCAAGTTCATCTGGATACATCCCCCTGTTGGTTAAGCGACTTGCTTTACCTATTTTAGCTCGAAATGTCACCTGAAAATCAAAACCTTTACATTATGCTTTCATAAAAAGAAACAGTAAACATTTTTCAGATTGAACTACACGAACCTGGCCAGCAGGCACATTGATATCTCCTGTTAGCTTTACCGCCTCAACATACTCAAAGAACTCGACATCAGAGGATTTCTCAGTATCATTTACATTCCAGTTACCATATTTCCGCCTTAATTGCACTACCTCAGTTCCATAAGGTCCAAATGCACCAACATATAGACCTAGAATTAAGAAAAAACTACATTACTGACAAAGTCCCACATCACTAGCTCTCCCCTCACCCCCATTTCTCTCTCCTTATTTAGGAATAGATGTCAAAGAGAAACAAATTGAGGAGATACACAAATGTATTTGCATGGATGCCTAGTGAGGTATGGAGGGATGTACATTTTAGTGTCGGACATGACTGTATTTATATTTGAGAGAGAGAGAGAGAGAGAGAGAAATGTCTTACCTTCAAAAGGATCTAAATCCCCAAGAGAGGTTGTAATTCGACTAAAATTTGTGTATTCAGATAACCTGTATCGCTTCTGCGCCTGGCTAACTGCAAGCTTTAATATCTCTTTCACATTTCTGGAAACCTACATCAAGTGTACATTCAATGAATCAATATATCAATACACCTAAATTATTGAAGCTATAAAANATTATTGAAGCAATAAAATCTTGACAATGCAAAAGCGAAATCTTGAGCTAGAAGGGAAAAAATAGAAAGGCAACAGTCTGGAAAAAGGTGATGAAATCATTTCAAGTTTT